TATGCCCACGGCTAATTTCATGCTTGTCCGGCTGCGTATCGACCGTAGTATTTTTTTTGACACATGCATCACCTGAATGGAGTCGAAGTACATTACATAGACTGGACGTTTTACAATGCAGGCGTTACGAATTGAATTATGTTGGTAATACCATAAGGATATAAAATACAAATGGTCGAAGGAAAAATATACCGTTTTTCTAGTCACACCGTATGGCAGCATGTAGCGTGTGGTACTTCAAAGAATGTTTTGTCGTAATACGAGAAGTAAATAGAACCCTTTGAATGACACAGGTTGATCCTTGAATGTCAAGAACAAGGCCTTGATTGTGACGATTAAAATACCCTTCATTACTCGATCTCTGTTCACAATTCTATTATAGGTATAGGAGAGTAGCGCGCAGACACGTATTGTTATTTTGGAAATTACATGTTCTACTTGTAATATAAAAATGTTTGGTGTCGGAATATTTTAAGAAATTTCAGTCAGATATACAAGCATCACAACAATGCCCGCATACTTTTCGAAGAACAGGTAATGATTTGTTTTCAGAGATTCATAACCGAGTGCGAATAATTTCGAAACCACTACTTACTAAATAAGAACAACAGACAACAATTACAAAGGGGTGTCCCCATAGACTTCATGTTTCAAATTAATTAGCATCTTAAATCATAGGCGGGTAATGGTTACCTTTCATTTTAAGGACTTTTGGAAAAAGCATTTGGATGGTTCTTCTATTCCTTTCCTTTGTTTGTTCCTCTCAGGTTTGTTCCATGGAATTATCAATGGAAACTCATACGTCTGATTTGTGGAGGGGGCAGCCTGAAAGCTCTTCTTGGCCTAGTTTCTTATAGCTGCAAGTCATACCATTTCACATGGTAGGACATCCACGTCCTAGTTCTTCAATAAGGTTGCTACCATTCGGCTTCAAATGGTCAAATGATTAGCCATTTTGCGCTTTCAGAACTACAATTAGCCTATTCTGTTTTTCTGTAAACATTATATTCCAAACACATCTGTCAATTTTTATGTAGTTCTCTTAACTAAAGCTTAACAGCTGTAATCGTCTTGTCCTATATGAACGTCAGGCTGCGCACAATGAAAATTCCTGATCCTTTTATGTCTATATCGTATGTAAACTCACTAAGACATGTTACGTCTTTTGATGCATAAACTCAGTTTATGAACATTAGTGATTCGAAAATGCAACTGTCGTCAAAGGTTCGCAGCAAACAGCTATTCTTGCAAAATCGTTAGAGCGTTTCCGGACATGGTGTCCTTGTCCTAATCCCATGCTACCTGTGCGAAAATACGCCGCGCTGCATTTCGGCTAACGAGATCTCGGTTTCAAGAATTCATTGGGGATAGAAATCGTTCGGATACAAAACGTATGGGGGTACTTTCGCCAGATTTGCAAAATATAGCTCCATTGTAACATAAATTGTGGCCACTACCACACGGACCATATAATGCGATTGTATATTTAGGAACATTAAAGGTCACATGCTTTATATTAGAGTGGTACACTGGCCAGGCAAACTTGTGATCCTAGAAATGATGGATGCCCCACCATCGCAGTACTAGAACGCCTGACGCAAAGCACACCAATATGCTTTCATTATTAGAAAAAGATGAAACCATCTTTGAAAGAGTTTTAATGAATTTCCTGAACAGTGAAGACGTTCAAACGAAATCTAGAGCAGGACGCACAGTAGATAAGCACCTGTTGGATACGAGCCATGGCGTTCACTGTTGATTCATGCTTTGTTTTTGTACGTCTTTACTGTGAAATAATAATAATATTAAGCAACGTATCCCGTGGTGAATTTGGGCGAGTCAATTTCGAGCATCGTACCAGTCGCTAGGGAATAGTAGTGCTCTATTGTGATATAAACGAGCCATTGGTTATATATAGAAGCCCTAAATCCATGATTAGTACGTAGATGTGTTGTCTTGGGCATGGCTAAAATTCTGTCTTCTATTGTATAACAAGTATACGAAATTATAGAGTGTAACGCCCAACGCAATATACGTCATCTCACATGGCCCTAGATCACAGTCACATTGATCAATGCGTTAATCCTCATAGCGATTTTCAAGTAAAGAAACTTCCTAGGTTTTCTTCATACGCTATTTCGCTGGGCGAAGCTAGTCCTGTCATATATTGATCCGTCCTACCGTAGTCTACCAGCACGAAGAGCGCAACTGAATCTATACGAAGACCCCATCGGTCGCTGTGTCGATCATTGACAAAGCAGTCAGCGTCTTTTTAGTGCCGACAAAAACCCGTCAGCTGTTTGCCAACAGCTGCTTGATTGGACTCAACCACCGAACAGTTTTTATCAACAATTTGGCTTCGTACGAAGGTTAATTTAGTCACCCCGGGAACTAGCGAGTGTTTGTAAAAAAAAAACAAATTTCGATCATTAACATAACAGCGCCACATGCCGGTTGGTCGCTAGTTTTTTTTCTCCTTGCGTTTTGCCTCTTACTCCCAAATTTCTCTAGATGATAAGGACCATAATAACAGAGTTCATTCAGGAAGCACTGTTTATTACATACTTATATTCACATACTCCGGCCGATGGTGGCAGCTCAGCGTTTTCCATTGCAACCCACGTAACGTTTGTACGTCGTTAAGTCCATATACAAGATCCCATGGGAAAGTTACAGGCTGTAGCTGTCACTGTAAATGTACTGACTTAAACGTCATAATGCCCAGCTGATACTACAGCATAGCCTCTGCTGCAGTAGTTTTTTTTGCAAACGTCTATTCGTTATAGCTAGCCTTTGAATACCAATTCCTGGAGCCAGCCGTTATATATTTCGAGGCCATTGTTATTTGCAAAACAACCGTATTTTACGATCTTGCTAGTTGTTCTTTATGGCATGAACGAGCTCCATGCAAAGTCTGTGCACACGAACGAGATTCGTGGAAACGATTCTGCGCAAGAATCCCACTTGCGCTATATCATTACCGTATCCCAAGGAAAAACAGTATTTCACCAGGCCAGCTATAACTGAGATCAGGTTTGTTCCCGGCAACTCGTTGTCCGCGCGATTTTTAAGCGATTCGTCTCATTGTCCGCCGCAGCCGTACAGGATCTAGTTGTCGAGCATAACCGTACCAACGAATGACGAAGGCAATTTTCTTAGATCTAACAGAAAAGAAAGGTTGTTCAGCATTCGTACAGATATATGATAGTATACGTAAATTGGGTCACTGTCTCTCCTTTTTCTCTCTCTCTCTCTCTCTCTCTCTCTCTCTCTCTCTCTCTCGCTCATCTCTCATTCGCCGGCTGTCGAATAATATCCAGTGAAAACAGAATGAACGTTTTATCCCCGAAGCTTATCGATCTGGGCATGGTGAAACAGTATGCTAATGGAGAATCCAGACCCGGTATTAAATAAGTTGTATTAAAAAACATCAACATACATAATTATACGTAAAAATATAGTAAAGGTAATAACTATTTGATGTTTGGGGGAAAGCTCGCGATCGCTCAACAAGGCCACTGTGTGTTGCCACTAAACCGTATGAGCTTATCACACTTCCTTGCTAATAAAATAAGATTGTGAAACTAACTAGAATTCTGCTTAGATCCAGTGTACGTTAAAATGTTTCGGCAATGGAACATTTAACAAAGCTGGTAAAAGTACCTGCACTTGAGAAACAATTCTACGATTACAAACGGTAGCTTGTAGAAAATATTACCTATAGTAGGTTGGCGAAGGTACCATCAGCATAAACATCGTTTTCACATAGATACATCTATTGCCAAAATATCTGTAGGATAGGTAAAATTCTCAGCCAATGAGAAAATATTCAGTAGTCTTGAACGAAATATTCAGAAGACCCGTATTTTCAAAATATTCCAAATATCTTTACTTATTTTCGGCGATCTTCAGATGACTCATTAGCATAATCGGTCATCACGCAACGACATCACGAACTGACTTCTAGTAGTAAGGTACGACGCAGCCAGCACCCCATTGTACAACCCCTCATTGCTAGTTGCCCTAGAACGATCGAACAGCTTCTTACCTTCTAATTAATCCAGCCTTGCTTCGAAGCATAGATGCCTTTTGAGTGCCTCTGCGACACGAATGTATTGTCATATTCATGAATGTCTCGTGCCTATATTAAACGGACGAAGAAAGATGTGTGTACCTATATCAATTCTTGTTTTGGAGCCGTCATGGCATAAAATGGCGATTATCTTGGTTTGTGGCGTCATGTAGGCTTAACATCGACAATCCCGTAGAATTATGGCGCTCTGACCTTACCAGCTAATTATACAGTATATTGGCTATTGTCTTTTTGTAATAGAGTGCCTTCGAAACAACAAGTGACATAGCCGATTTCGCAGCTGTTTGTGCACCATGCCAATTATATTGCTAGCCAGACAGGTCGTAAGACGGACTATACAACAGCTCATCTTCAAAATGGATTTTAATAAATTTGTGAGCACAAGACTGCTTCAACTTGCGTATGTCCAGCCGGATTGGAACCGGAGATTTTTTGGTTTTAAGTCTTCAGCGCTACCGCTTGCTCTATCTCTGACGTAACTGAAAAGGCCCTACGTCCATATTTTGCATCACAATGATGTTTAGCTGCTCTTAAGACCCGCATACACGTCGGAGGGACTCAGTGGTGCTGTCTGCCGATTCATGTTGAGTATCTCGTCACACTGTAAGACCAATTTCGCCGTGCTTATGTGTACACGTGCCTTTTAAACTATCTTCTCGGAGCCGACATTTTTACTTCACCTAATAATACCCGGATTCTCATGCGCTAAAGCAACAAGTTGTCGGAGGATTATGTAATCTATCGTCCGAGAACTCTGAGTAGGTTAATTGTAAGTGTTGTCCCTTCAACAACAAATTTAATTCATCAAAGCGCCGAAGTCTAATACAAGAGCTGATAAATAATACAGTCTAAAACGGAAATCGGAACGACAGTGCTAAAGACTTCGTTGAACTCTATTCTGTTTCAGGCGCGTTCCTGGTGCCTTATTTGCTGACATTGTTTCTGGGAGGGATTCCCACTTTCTTCTTGGAGACATCTCTCGGTCAATTCCTCAGTATAGGTGGGCTGGGAGTCTGGAAGATATGCCCAATTTTCAAAGGTACGTTTCGTTATATGAAATGAGTTTAACGTTAGGTTATTAGAGTTTTTTTCTGAACAGCCAAAGTAGATAGTGCTCTTTATCGCCTATATCTTTCTATTTCTAATGGGATATGTTAGATCACTAATCGCGAGTTCGTCTAGGCATATCTAGACAGATTCTAACCCTTAAGGCCCCGAAGTTATCATTGAGGTAGAAAATTAGTCGAATTCAAGGAATGCTTCATTTATAGAGCTATCGGATATGTGCTAAGAAATGACGAGCTCTAATATAATGAGTCTATGGGTCCTATTTGGCTTCCATATATTTTGTCGGTTTTAAAATTGCTGCAAAAATAGTGTGATAAACGATTTGACTTGAAATAAGTAAAAAGAAATCGCTTCTTAGGTGATTATCCCTATATCGAATGCACTAATCGGCCCTGTCCACAGGAACACAAATGAGATCTCCTTTAAATGAGCTCAGCTGCAAGCTGGGAGAAGAAAGTTTTACGATACCAAGGGAAGTTATATTAGGATTCTATGAAGCCCAAAAAATGCGCTATATGAGAGGCTAGAAGTAAAACTATAGGTGTTCTAATCAGATTTTGTGTTGAGAGCTTAGATCTAGAAACATTGGTACACATCTGTGGTTTAGGCGTAAAAAGAAGACAGAAATAACACTTGAGTTTTTCCTTTGCGGATGGGGTTGCATACAAGTTATTGGTACGCTATCAAGTGTTTCTCTGAAATGAACCACTTGTGATAGAAACTGCGCTATCTGTAGTTAGCCATGAACCTTTGTTTTTTTCTATAGCTTTCAGTTATATTATTCTTGACTCGAAGCTGCTAACATTGCTTCGTACGACACTGTTACACAGAATTTTGAAGTATTTTATGATTATTTTCAACTCTTAATTAGGGCCATTTTCATTTAGGTTTAGCGAAGCGTCTGATTTTCCCGATCTAGCATCAGATAGAAAAGCATGCATATTAAATTTCACTAAAAATCATCCTAAACAAGAAACCCCTAACCCTCAAGCAGCGGTATTGTACATATGTAGTACTGACACTATATCTGCTTGACTGATACCCGTATCCTGGTTAGAATAGAAATCCACAGTAGTTTTCGCATTTAATACTGACCAATATTTTAAATAAAGACTAACATTAAATATGCTCAACGCTCACTGTTTTTCCTAAACGAAAAACGCGGATTAACAACCTATCTTTTAAAGAGATGCTTAACAGATATCACTGCCAGAAAAGTTCAAGCCATGATTAGGTACTAGCTCGGACTGGAGATGCTTCCTATTTGCGTGACGAATCTACCACTAACGGATATTTCTACGGTTATACTCTTGTTTACAGGCGTCGGCTATGCGGCCGCGGTCATGTCATTCTGGCTCAACACATACTACATCGTGGTCTTGGCGTGGGCTTTTTACTATATCTACGCATCACTCGCACCTGATCTACCATGGCGAACTTGCGACAATCCCTGGAACACGAAGAACTGCCGATCAGAATACGAGCCCCAGAATTGCACAACCGAGTGCCTACCTGCAAACGTCGTGCGCAGCCCCGTTAAAGAATATTGGGAGTAAGTTGAGTTGGTCTTAATCCGTGTATTAAGTTGCGACTGCTGACTTTTCATTTTAATGTAGATGCATATCTAGATGACAGCAAGGTGACAAATGGTTAATCAATCTGCATGAGATTAACGATCAATTCAGTAGACGTTATTTTGTTTACCCTGAGATGGCCCGAATACTTTTCAAAATCGTTTCTATCATTAATTAACAAGTTGAGTTGCTTTAAGGGATGAAGGGGCAGAAGCAGAGGGGATAGGACCGGGTATATATATATATATATATACCTCTCTGTGTAATCCAGTCAAAACAACGGGACTATAAGTCGTACATATTATGCCCTTTGCAGTACGTATTCAGACTGATTACATACGACATAGTCAGACGTAATCGTTTTCGCCAGAGATAAAGTCCCCCCGCTGTGCACAGCACACTGACCGATGCATTTTGCTTTATAGCAGCTTCAGGCAACTGAAATACTCCGATATTCACTTATTCAAGCGATACCCTTTGTAGAAAAGCAAATACTATTGTATTACTAGATCTATGCAATTTTTCAAACTCTTATTAATTAGCTGAAGAAAAGGAAAACGTGCTTCCAATCGTGTTAGTTCCCATATAATTTATTTCCTTAATTCCGAATAGTGCATAAGTATTTAAATTAACCTATTTGGTTGGCTGGTTTAAAAAAAAAAGTGGTTTCAAATCTTACCTCATGTATTTACGTTCGTGAATCCAATATAATAAAAATTGCAGATTGACTCTATCTACTTCACGTTATGCAAAAGGCATCTACGATATTGTACCCAGCCACATACAGGTTGACGTATAGTTATAAACGCCGACTGGAGCTGCGACGTACAGGGCGGGCTTCCTTCGCGATCGAAAAATGACTGTTGGCGTATGCAACGTCAAAGAAATAAGGGATAACGACGGGACTCCTAACGAGTTTGACATTGAAATGGCAGCTTTGAACTTTCTCTCTCGCTGCCTTTTTCCATCTGCGCCCTCTGTTAGGTGCCCCTCTACCTTTTCGTCATTTTATTTATTTTGTACTTTTCCGTTCTCTGTTTTTCGTCTTTTCGAAATTGTCTGCTTTAGCGTTTCTTTCATTCATATTCTCACTCCATTGCTCGGCTGCATTCCGCTATGGCTTGGCGCCACGATCTCCGCCATAACAAAAGCTGTTGGCCTATCGGTGTTTTTTGACCTGTAGCTGAATAGCGCCGGCGCTGTGAGATTTGCGGAAACGGCTAGAGCTGTAAGGTATAGGGAAGTGCAATAAAGGCCCTTGCGATTCGGAAAACGAATGCATCTAGCAGCTCGTCCTGTCTTCCGACTTTAGGCCTAGAGTGGCGCGGTGATCTGGCGGAGGCTGAAGACCGACAAACAGCAAATCAGGCTTGTTCGATCGGGGACGGCTCCGGACGGCCGTGGTTGCGCAACTCGACTCGAACGTTAAGACGATCGGAAAATAAAGCGAAAAAACAGGAAATCAACGACGAACAACAAAAGAAAAGGATACGTGAATCGACAGGTGGTCGTTCGCCTGCTCGTCCGTCTATATGAAGCCTTACTTGACTGACGCTGCCGAATCCTCAACAGATTTCCTGAGGATCTCTCAGATCAATTTATCTTGTGCCTACAAGCATCAAACGCTTTGTTGCACTTCGCACTGACGACTAACGTTCACACTAACGTCAAAGGCAGGCACAGAAAGGCTAAACGGTAGTAATAGCAGTGGTCGCCGTGTGGAGCTAATCCATCATCTCATAATTGCGGAAAATGTTTTCTGGAGAGCAGCCAAAGAAATGCAATAGCTGAATTTCTTTGGTTGCTCTCCAGAACTTCATTTCCACCGTACGGAAACATAAAAGTTTTAAAAAAACAAGACAACTGCATTGGGACGTATCTTGAACCCCATGCATTGTTGGCAATGAACCTACATTGTAGCCACGTTTAATGAGCACGTTTGCAGAACGTTGGTGTTAACGCGTAAGCGCATAGAACTTCTAAGCGAGAAAGTATACGCGGGCAAAAATAGCTTTTTACGACGTTATTTTAAAAAGAGGCTCGAAAGAAACGTCTAGGTATTGGCCACTATCAGAGGGGTCGGCACTTGCCATTTGCCCAGACGGAGATGGCCATCTATCTTTTTGGCCGCTGCAGCATGTAAGGGTGCAGAATGGCATTGGTTGTTAATACGCCCATGCACGTTGCCTCATCTGTGGCAACTGGTGGCTTGAAATAAGCTTGCCCACTGTCTGTTCATTCGGAGAATCCTGAAACGCACTTGCAATACGACCGTCGCACAAATCTACACATCTGGCTTAGTGTACCACAAACCCAAAGGTACTCGATTAAGCAAAGCTTTGTTTTCTATCTTTCCGTGTGTTTCGTGTCAAAGGCTTGGTTAGTGACCAGTAACGACCATAAGTGTTCTTAAAGGGGCGGGTATCGATTGCATCAACAGTTTCGGCTTTCGGTGAATAGTCCGGCGAACGAAACTTCGTATTAGGTTCTTCACTGCTAAAACAATTTCTAAGCAAAAACAACTTAGTTTACTTTTCCCCTAAAGAACAAAATATGTTTCTCAGACCCTACACAGCTATTCTTCTAAAAATCTTGTTTTTAGTCGAGATAATGCTATTTCTAGTATTTTTTGGGCATAGGTGCGAATCAGCGTAACCGAATACTCCGCGAACTGCGTTTCTTTAACTGCTTAGTATTTTACTCCGTTGGTTTTCGAAGCCACCTCGCTACCACAGTGGATGCCATCCTGCAAGATGGAGGAGCTCAAACTCGCAGGACAGCATACCTGGCGACGGAGCACAGCTGAGACCGTCCGCAAGCACACAACGTACTATGAAAACCGCTTACAACCTGGATGTTGAATCAGCCATTTTTCCATGTGCCTACACATTTTTGCCATTAGAAACAACGCGCGCTACAGCGAACTAAATTACACAACGATAGTTCGCGAGATAGCAGAATAGTCGAAACTCGTCGATGACCCGCCAGAACCAAATTCTTCTGAACTGCGGCCTTCAAAAGGCTTCACTTCCTGAATGTGAACGGTATAAGTGGTCTTGACCAGCTGCTGGCAGCCAGCTGCAGTCATTAAGACCTACCTGATAGCCGGGCATATTTGTTTTGCAAGAAGCAACCAAATCATCACTGATGAAAGTCGATCTCTGTTCGAAAATCCGGCCCTAATCCCACTCCAATCGAAGGTGGCAACTTGCTTCCGCATTTGCTACGAGTGTGCTTTTCGCGTCCTTTTGCTGGATCACAGCCGCTGCATTGACCGAGAAAACGTTAATGTGCAAGCAGGGCATGACGCGATAGTGTCCATAACTCATGCCTATTCGTTGACGGCTGGCTCGCCAGTAGCCGCACTACAAAACTTGTAGTAATACGGTGCTGCTTCATCAGTTGGGCATCATATTTTGCCTTCGCATCGCCCTGCACTGCTAGCTATCGACTGGCAATACTACGGAGCCTCTGTGATACGACCCTACTGTCCATACACGGACCATTGATTCGTTAAACCGGCGATCATACCACAGTATCGTTGCCTTCTGCTGCAGAAGGATATGTCTGTCTCTCCATGTCGTTTGGCCTATGTTTGTGCCTATACAACTCCTGAAAAGGCAAAGCTGGGACCGACATGAGATGCTAAGCTGGTCGGTGGTTGTCATCGGTTTCCGATGGTTCCGACGTTAGGGGCTGCGCCGTTGGCAATCGAGGGCGACAAAAGATTTGTTTGTACCTCACAGAAAAACTGTTAGCCACTAGGCAGATAGCAATTCTCAACAAATAGTCCAACATGCGTGTCTCCTGTGGATGTATATGTACCTGCAGAAAAACAGGTACGGTCAGGCCCGAAGAAAAGCTTTTCTGTCCGAATATTGCAAGGGCGAAAGCAAGTATTGTGGTTGATCAAGGTTCAAGAGTTACGAGTTATTTCGTCTCTTTCTGATTGGATTTGATTGCACGCATGTCCCTTATTTCGGATGGCGTAATCTTTCCTTTTGTTCCTTTGAGACCTCCCTCAGGGCGCCAAGCCGGCGCCAGCTCGCGCATGACTGGCGTGTCGCAAGTGGGACAATTCTGACAATTTTGGAGTCTAGCAAAGTGGCGGTGGAAACTGCGGCGTTGCCGTTAGAAACAACGGCGGCCAGCACCATCAAACGATGAGAACAACGAGGGATCGACTCCCTGCTTTTCCTTTCCGCTTAGCTTGAGGTCGGCATGGAAGCGAACGCCTCAAGCAGCTGGGGATCGGGATTGAACAGAGCAGCAGCTATTAGTGGCTGCTGAGGGGAAACTGGGTGGCCACCCTGGTATTCTGCATGAAGAACAAGACGAGGTATGCGTTGCGCCTAAAAAAAAATGACGTCTGCTAACAGTAGATGACTTCCTTGAGGTTTCGCAATTCTACCTTCACTTCAGCATGGCCTGGGATAGTGGAAACAAAGCTCGGGAAATACGGGAATAGTGAAAGAACACTCCGGCAGGCAGTGCCACACAGCCAGCCGGAAACTCCTGAATACTTCCTGCTGGGCTTCTCAATGGCAATAATCGTGACCGCGTATAGTCATAAGCTGACTCGCTCGAATCGTTTGAGCCAGGTTCTTCTAGCCTAAGGCCACTACATTTGTAGTATAGCATTCGAAACTAATTGCAACACGACTTATATTCAACGTCCTTATGTTATTTGACCGCATTCGTTTGCCAAATTCAGCAGTGCGAACATATTACGTCCAATCTGAAATGCTCAGCTGTCAAGGTGCGTTGGTTCCAGTGCAGTACGATCTCTAATACGTACTGAACAGGAAGCCGTGACATGCTGTGGTACTGCTATTGTGTATATGAAGAGTGGCACCACTCATTGACGACCAAGGTCGTCAATAAACCGTAAATACTCCAATCAACGAATTCGTGTGTCTCAAAACACACGGGGCAGGTGAGAGTGAGACTGCGGAGAGCTGCTTTGGTCTAAAGCGAAATGTCACAGCCGATCGAAGCGACAGATCTGCAGCCAGACGAGTCCAACCCACGGCGTTGCCATTATGGCCAATAGTGTCACAGCTGGGTAGAACTTCTCAGGCCACCGGATGCACCATTTGAACGACCATTCTCTAGTTTGTCGATTCTTTTTGTGGCACCGCCCTCTAGGTCACCTAAGCATCTCTGGCTTCCTCTAACAGTGCCATTCTACCGTGACTGCATCCAACTGTAACAATACAGTCAGTCACGTTGTTGTATAGAGCGGCATAGATATATTTGGAAAGTAATACAAGCTATAGCGAATGATGCTGGTTACTCTGTGTAATTTTGATGGTCTGATGTAGACAAATGGCGCCGCTGCCACTTACTATCAATATTCTCATAGGATATGTACGTGTAAACGGAAATAGTAGAAGCACATCTACGGGCCACACGTAAACACGCTAGACAAACGTGACACTTCCAATCATTATACTTAGTAGAACAGAGTATTGAAAGCATTTATGCTTGTACAGCTAGCCAGTAAACATAAAATCTCTCGGCTGAGAAGACGGTCACATGCTTTGCTAGAGAAGTACAACTGAAAAAAGTAGCTGAAAACGTCATTGGATATGTTTCCGGATGAAACAGATACGGCTGTTTGTTTAACTGACGCTCCACGATTTGGACTAGTACATGACAAGCAAAGATGGAATCGTCTATCGAAGTGGCTGTATACGAGAAGCATGGAACGACCGTGAGAAATTAGCCAGCTTGTAGACGAGTGCATAATAGTCGGGTATGAATACCCGTGTGCACATTACAGATCTTCTATTTTTTTTGCCCTTTGGCAAGTCGAAAGCATGCAAATGTTACAATTTAAATGTGGCGTAAAGCATACTGAAAACAAATAAATTAACAAATATTAAATAGTAAAAATTGAGGGTGTTTTTATATGAAAAGTACAAGAAATTCTTTATGTTTGACTTCACCGAAGCGCCATCCAACTAAATGATGCCAGTATTATCGAGTACTAAATAGACGTACCTGCATATATTTATAACTGGCAAGAAAACGAGGTTAACGTTGCTGAAGAAATAATTTGGTTGAGCTTATTTATTAGTGCCATGCGTTCTTTTCATTATTCGACAGTTCCTATGGAGAACTCGCAAGTGGGGTCCTTTACCTTTATATGAAGTGCTTGTTTTCAGCTTGTTAGATGTGATCGGATCGTCCCTGCGTACGCTGTTCGATAAAGTAGTTCAGAGTTTTCGAGTATCCTTACGTACCTCTTGAGCGAAACTTTTCTACCCATTAGTTCGACTAGGGTGCTACATATGTAACGACACGATTCCAAAACATTGGAACCGATAGTTTTTGTTGTTCAAGGAGGAACATTGTATTTCTTACATTTTAATTCTAGCGGTCAGTGTTGCAATAAGGTATATGGTGGCGCCTGACTCGCTTGTTATATAGCGATATTAAGCTTAAAGACACAATGTATCAAGTAAAAAGGCGAAGCGCTAGCGAGTATTCCAAAGCAAAGTTATGTTTCAAGCAGTCTGATTTCAGTTGTGGACAATTTAAATCGGGCAATTCCTGAAAAGCGTTTACTTAAAAATCAACGCTCTCTTTGTGAATATTTGTTTATTTTCTATATATATATATATATATATATATATATACGTATATATATATATATATATATAATATATATATATATAATATATATATATAACTTATTGTTTATGGATTTTTCAAAAACTAGCCATTTTTCCTGGCGATCAAATCAAACTCTTTTCCAACCAGAATGGGATACCTACGAAACTTGCTTGAGCTTCACGCTCTCCTACTGCGTAGAGCAAATACGACTTTGTATGTTGGAAGAATTCTGAGTAGAATGTTTAATTATACCTTTCCCATATATAGTCCGTAAGAACTGTGTGTGATACGCGGATCCTGGCAAAAGGTACAGTCTTCGAAATCGCAAAAGAACACTCTGCAGGCTGTTGGAGAGCGCGTAGAAAAAAGATAGTGTGAATAGTAGATCAAGATTGTATAGACCTTTTGATGGATTGCCGGTTGGTTAACTATGTAATTTTTACACTAGAATGAATATATACAATGGTATAACTTGGAGGTACTTTGAACTCAGGAAGATAATTTGGCACTCAAGTCGTTATTCGTTACGTTTCTTTGAAAATATGCTGCGACTTTTTCATCTGCCTCCACTAATGATTGCTTCAATTTTCAATTGGTTAAAGTTAATATGCCCAGATAACTCTATCTTCAGTACTACTTGCGTCATGTTGTCCGGTCAAATATACACGGTGGAATGATTCTAAGGCGTCAACTATTGTGTTTAGGTATGGAATGAATAAAAACGGCGATAGAAATTAACGTTTTGAAAATTGAACGGAAAACTACAGAAAACCTATCCTAGATTATCAGCAATTTTACCCTAGCCTTTATAGCTTGCAGGCTATATTAAGCCAACGAAAAACTCAGGTGTGTCATCGTTTCTTAGGGTCAATTATTCAGCAGACGGCAACATAAAACGACAAACGTTCGGCACGAAATTGGTATAACGACATCTATAAGCGATAGCGACGATTATAGGCAGTTTTCTAGTTTAGAGAAAAAAACTAAAATATACTTTTTTGGATAGCTGTGTAATTTCCTGCCCCGTACCATTAGAGTCTAATGTTAATTTTGACTGGGTACTTGTCGTTATGCGCTGACGTGGTCATTGTTCCTTGTCTGCGTGTCGACAGGCATTCGGTGCTTCAAATCACGAGGGGATTGCACGAGCCAGGAGAGATCCGGTGGCCCCTAGCCACAACGCTGCTCGTTGCGTGGATTCTCTGCTATTTTTGTATCTGGAAGGGCGTCAAATGGACCGGAAAGGTCGTGTACTTCACCGCTCTGTTTCCTTACTTTCTTCTTGTCGTCCTTTTAGTTCGAGGAGTCACCCTGCCGGGTGCCATGATTGGGATCAAATTCTACATTACGCCCAACCTTGACAAGCTTAGTGACTCGCAGGTAGGATGTGTGGTATATTCGGTAATCGAATGATAAAATTAACTATATCTTTTATATATATATATATATATATATATACAAAGCTAAATCATCCACGATACGAGCCTTTCTAGATCTTCATTATTTGAAGTTACGGATAATCAAAAAATCAAGGGAAGTATCTCCGGACGTCATTAGTGCAAAACGTAACTACAACTAACTGACATGAAACAATGGAGGATTACAACTTTCGGTTCTATGTCAATGTGAAATTACAAAACAAAAGCTGTACGACAAAGCTGTTCAAGTTTAAGATTAAAATAATGCGGCTTATTAAGGCTAGGGCACCGGGCGCCGTCTCCTAAGTCGGTTTGGTCTTCTATAATACTTCGTAGGTACTTGACAAACCGAGAAGAACGGAAGGTCCTGATTCTAGATTTTCTTATTTGCTTCAAGCAGGTCTGGATTGATGCAGCAACACAAATCTTCTTTTCCTATGGCCTCGGCCTGGGATCGCTTATCGCGCTCGGCTCCTATAACAAATACCACAACAACGTCTATAAAGATGCCCTCATTGTGTCTTGCGTTAACTCAGGCACTTCGATCTTCGCCGGTTTCGTAATTTTTTCAGTCATCGGCTTTATGGCCCACTCACAGGTGAAGCTCAGTTGTAACACAGCAAAGAACTGTATGGGCTGGATGATTTACTGCAGTCCCGTTATTATCAACATTGGGCCCTTGATTATACATCATATAGAAACAATGCATTACTACTGCTATTTGTGTTACTGTCAATATATTATATAGTTAGAATATATTTTATCAGTGTTGCCCTTTTTCGAAAATTGGCTTAGCATGTATCATAAGCAAATCATAGTTTTATTCGTTGTTTTGTATTCTTAATCAAACTATCAAAATTTCTTTTAAATCTAATTTGACATACATACTGACGTTCAACGTAGCCAGAGATTAAATAAATTATTTAGGACAACAAAATAAGTTTCGACTATTAGTTAATCATAGTAGTTTAGATCGATTAGAATGAGCTGGAATGGATACGGACAGACAACGTATAGATGCCTAGGTCTCTGTGAGTTTCAGGCAGGTGCTGAAATTTGGCATGCCCAGCTATTCGTGTTAAGTTCTCTTTGACTTAAAAACAATTAATTGGCTTCCAGTTTTTGTACCGCCCATCTCGTACGCATATCGAAGGCCATACAAACCATTGTATCAAACTCAATTAGCGACACAGTATGAACGTTCCAATTCAGACAGGCAGCTCAGAAGATATTAAGCCTTGTGTCAGTACGATCCGCAATAACTGAACGACATTATCAATTCAGATACGTATAAATAATTAAGGGGGGAGGGAGGGAGGGAGGGAGGGATCTTTCTTTCATAAGCTTCTGAGCAAAGTATGGTCTGGCAATGAAAGAGATAAGAATAGTTGAGCAGTTTTAGTTGTTTTTCTTTCAAGAATATTTCTATTCTAATAGTTAATATCATTTCTGATATTAACAATTTTCTTCATATCAAAGGAAATATCAGCCTTAACCATTATTATATGTACGAAGCAACTGGATAAACCCGTTTTTTCAACGTGATCCCATCGTTTTTGCTCTGTATTTCCATAGCGTAAGCGACTTATTACATAGTAACTCATACTGTTTATGTTTTGTATTTTGTGCATTTCAAATCGTTTCATTTTCTATGTTTTCGTAGGGTAAACAAATCGAGGAGGTGGCAACGTCAGGTCCCGGCCTCGCCTTTCTTGCGTACCCATCAGCCGTTCTGCAATTGCCCGTATCTCCGCTATGGTCTGTATTATTCTTCCTTATGATAGTCATGTTGGGTTTAGATTCACAGTTCTGTACCTTGGAAGGCTTCATCACGGCTGTCGTCGACGAGTACCCCAGGACCTTACGTCCACGCAAAGAACTGTTCATCTTCATAATCTGTCTAGTATCGTACGCAATTGGTATCAGCTTCATAACGCAGGGAGGCATGTACGTATTCCAATTGTTTGAGTATTATGCCGCTTCCGGATTTGCCCTGCTTTTCCTCATCTTCTTCGAAGTAATTTCTATCTCATGGAGCTACGGCGTGAATCGCTATTACCAGAATCTTACCGACATGATCGGCTACCGACCCTGCATCTGGTGGAAGATCTGTTGGGTCGCGCTAACCCCGGCTGTCTGTTTGGTAAGCAGTATAAGCGAGCAAAGATCTACTCGTATTTTGATAACATCTGAATGTCAGTGATCTATTCGATTCCTTTGGTTGTTTGCTTTTGGGGACCATAGCACACATACACCCTAATTGGCAGTTTAAGTTTGCTTTTAATTTCGCTAATTTCGCTGCCTATGAGCGCCTTTCGTACTGTATTAACACTTGCGCAGTAATGCTAATGTCAATACAGGAAACGCTCCATTGTACTGTGAGCTTTCTCATTTGATACACTGAAGTTACTCACCTGATGCTAAATAAAACATCCATCTATACCAAATAGTATCAAGCGCATTCGTGTTAACTTTTTTTTCGCATCAAACCTGGCCTCTTGTGTACCTTAGGGAGTATTTATATTCAGCTTGGTGCAATATCGGCCGCTGAGGTACATTGATTATGAGTATCCTTGGTGGGGTCAAGTGTTAGGCTGGATCCTCGCCTTGTCGTCCATGCTTTGCATCCCGGGCTATGCGGCATACCTCTTCTGCGTCACACCAGGAGACTTTAGAACGGTAGGTCTACATTAGATACGTCGATTAATGGGTCGCAATTTTAGTTCGACTTATTACGCACATCAAATCATATACATGTAGCAAAGCAACATATGCAATTATTTCCTCATTTCCCATTTTGCTCATCGTTAATTCGAATAATTTAAAAATATTCTTTCCCGTAAATGAGATCTCACGAGGGTAAGAAGCATCTTTGTTGAAATCACGTAATAGACGATATTCGTTTGCCCTTATACGTCCAACTATCGAGGTCGCCCTCGGCTTTGAATTTTATTTAGGTGCAGATATGAAACGAGTAAACACGAATTTTCAGCATTATAGTCGCCATCTTATGTGCACCTTTGGTTGATTTGGTAACCCCTAGATACAACTGGGAAGTCTCCTTTGTTCCTAAGACTAGCGTCAGGTAAACTTGCGCAACGAGTTCCTTTTTAACGTCAATGCCTTTACCTCGTTTCGCGTGCCCTCGAAAAGCTTTCGTTACTTTTACTTGTACAAAACTACCGACATACTAGCTAGTTGCCTCCTTTTGCTCCTAAACCTTCCATAGGACACTACACCTTTCCTACTGCCGATACAGGCTCATCGACCAGCGTCACCCGGAAGGCAAACAGAACGAGAGCTGAAGCCACCTACTTTCGGCTATTTCTTTTTTCAACGACGGCTTTTTGCGACACGTAGATTAGCCTAAGTCGAAACAAAGCAATCTGTGTTCGCAGCACCAAAGATGATTTGCAATCTTTCTGTGTTGATGCCTTTGGCTTGGAATGGCTTCCTTTACAGAAGCGTATTTGGGTTGTTTGCCGAAAAGAGTTTATCTTCCACTAACAAACTCTTTCAAACCGTCACAATTTATTCAAATAATTTATTCGCCTCGGTCTTTAGACCATGCAAGAAGCACTAGAAGTAAATTATAATTGCCTGAAAAACTTCTGCTTTCCTTGCTCCACGTTGCTTTGCGGAAACCTTCAAGTATTATGGCCTTATTGTTGCCAGATCCACTAATCATGCGTGATTCGGGGCATAGTAAAACACCGCCCTATCTGATTGTTCTCGTTATGTTGTCCTTTTCAGAGATGCAAAGAGCTCTTTCGGCCCGATCTGGATGTAGAGACGGAGATTCGGGCGAGGAAACACCGCGAGGGTGACTCTAAGCTGGATAGCTCGGTCACCCCCGTCTAAGTAAACGGCCCATCTGATGTTGATTCGCAGACAAGCAACGCTGCCTAGACAGACATTGCAAAAAATACGCTGCTACTAAGAACAATATGCCTGTAACATTACGCTGGTATAGACTTCGTATCTACGTTAATGCACAAGTTATAATAATAGCCATATAGTAGTAACTGACGGATGACAGACGCTATCTGCACGTCATGTATTAATTAGCAGTCAAAAGGAATTCACCTTAGAACCTGATCCTCATAATTCTAGGCACTACAATTGCTCAGGACGGTCATTGGCCTATGTGGATTGAACGAGATTTTTCAGAACGTTACGATATGTGTAGGGTCTTCCAGTTGAAGCAGACTACCGTAATTTAGATTGCGAAGTGGACTGCGGGACTCTCATGCGACAGCGTTACCAAACATGATGATTTTGGGAGTAACCCTGATGAGTAATATATCAATTGGCATCATTGTTCCATTGCTAAAATGTGAAAGTATATATATATATATATATATGCTTTCGCAATTTAGCTTATTATGTTAATAATCTTCCTTTATTTAAGAAGCAACCAAAAAGTATGCATATTCACGATATTATTCCATGATATATATATATATGAAGCGTAGAAGCATTGACCAAAAATTATCTCGACACCAGATTACCACCAGGTAAAAAAAACAAATGAATCTGAACCACGACGAGACCTGAAGAATAAAGTGGACGGTCGCAGGTTTGAATCAAAAAGAAAAATGGAATTATAAGGGCAACAAGTATGGTGCCACTTGCCCGACCATCATCATCATCATATTAGTTTCCGAATACCTTCACACATACATACATACATACATACATACACAAAATCCCTCAGCCATATACGGACTTCCTACCGTATCACCATACACGGCTCCGCAGGGGCAGCGTATTGCCGCCGAAGATAGCCAAGCGCGGCGGCCAAAATGAAGGAACGCGATCACGAACCGCTTTCGTCTCAATAAGGCGGCGACTTCTATGCTATTAAAGATGGCTAGCCAAAATGCATTACGCAGCGAAATCACAGCGTAACACACTAGCATGGTACCATCATTTCGGTATTAGTACTATATGAACATCATACTTAGTAATGTCTTCCATTCCAGTAGCCTTTTTCTATAGACGAATGCAGAACGAGACAATAATGAAAAGAAAGGCCGAGGGCGGAGTGAAGAAGCGGGAAACTGAATAATTGTGTACCGAACGAAAGGCGAGTGTCTGACACTATAAGGTCTGCGCGAAAGCGAATCAGAGTAAGCGGAAGCTAGAACAGAAAAATCCTGACTGGAATCGACAACAGAGCGTCAGAGGTAAGCGCCGAAAGCAAACAAACATTTAAGCATGAAAATTGGAGGGAAAATAAATACGAATAGTAGACGGGTTCGCATCGAACTTCAGCGTCGTCGGTGTACAGCCTTAATGCGGCTATTGAGTTAGCGTGCAAATTGCACGTCACCGCAAGATTGCACGTGGTATCCATAATAAGGTATGTTTGAATGGCTACAAAGAAAGAAGTCAGCGCCAAAACTTACTGAATCACACCATAGCAAATCATCTCTGCTATACAATATACTCCAAGGTAGCGCCACGTATCACCCATAGACACGTTTGGTAAGAATGATGACAATATCACTACTACGATAGTTTCTATGATGATGTTATTTATAATTACTCTCATTATTATAATTAGCAACTCTGCGATAACATAGCCATCGTGACAATTGGTACAAACTAATAAAAGTCCAAAAGCCAGATCGATCGATCGATCATTTGTATTGTCAATCAGTCTACTCACTCACTATGACGACAACGTTGCTGATGATACAGACAAAGATAAAGCTAGGCAAACGAAGGAGTACTGCCTGCTCTGCGAAAAAGATGCGGAATAACATCATACAATACGGCCTACAACCTGTAAACCTAAGCAGTTTTACTACAATGGGACGACTAGCATTTACAATAGAGCTAACCGTAAGATAGGATATAGGAAACAATAGCAGAAAGGAACTAGAGTTTCAACACAATATCTCAATTCAATAACTAAAATAATAACGGTAACAGTAATCATTAATCGTGGAAAAAGCCAAATGGATACATCACAGTATATACATCATTTCCCAAGTATTATAAAAAAAAAAAAAAGTAGATGCCATTGGTAAATATCTAATCAAGTTTATCTATCTACCTATCTATACATTCATCAGCAAAACAGCCAGGCCAATTTTTGGTCAGTACTAAATCAGATATGTATATACATCAACGTGCATTTCTTAGCCTAGTAGAACTGAACAGACGAACATAACCTCGAAACCGTCTTCTAAAGCAAAATCTCCATCTCTTAAAACCTTCTGCATTGCAGACACCGCGCGATCTTGAGTAAAATTTGGGCATGTTTTTGGGGTCCGCATTACCGAGCCTTGCGAGTTAAGCTCAGTTGCAAAGAGGAGACTTAATCATCTTCCGCGAAAAGATCTCTGAAGGTCATGGCGCAGTGAGAAATTTCAGAAGGTGGCCGCTTGTTATGAACCCTTTCCTCTTTTAATCAAACAATCATCTAATATTATACACACACTCACACGTACACAGACACACTCACGTGTACACAGACACGCTCACGTATGATCATTTGGTTTTTACAGAAAACGTTTGAAAAATATTTGTGCGGCAGAACGGTTATCTTTTGCCCAGATGTGATATTTATCTAGTTGGGACGAAAGCACCATGACCCCCAGAGGCGAGTGACATGGGACCAGCAATCATCAGTTGCCCTGACGGTATATTTCACCCTGTTTATGGTAGTCACCCTCCCATGCATATACGGATTAGTGATTTCATAGAAATTCAGCCCTCTTGGGGCTTTTTTTAGCAGGCTTCCGTTTATATTGGCTTTTGTCTAAGTCCTGTTTTAGGGTGCACTGTTGAATGTGTTGCGTCGTCAAAAAAAATTTAAGGGAAATAGGTATGGTTTATTATTCAATACGAGAAATTCAGCAAAAAGGGGTTAGTTATAGACCTCTATATTATTGACGCACAGAGCTCCTTCGACTTGCTATAAATGGAGATGGAAAACCGTCCCATAAAGCGCATTGCTTGTGCTGTAATGTTTGAGATGGTGATACAGAATAGTTGGATCGTCAATGCTACTATGTGTCACTGACACAGCCAGATCGTTCCGATATTTGAGGCACATATTACTACCGCAGGAAGACTAAATTTTACAATGGAAAGCCTCGCATCTGTTATGCCGAGTACGTTGTTGACCGATTATATAGTCCTGCCCATTACCTTGGGCGCCGTACAATTGTGTACGTGAGACAGGCACAAGTCCAGATCAGTTTTCCTATAACACGGCCTCAGCAAAGACGAACATCCTATTTCTTGTATGCCTACAACAGGCTGAACGTTGCCGCCTAACTTTAACTACAAATATACATTGATGATAATCAATGGCCAAATAAGTCCTGGCCGCCCAGTCCATACGATGGTTGATACGTGAACGCTAGCTAATTTGAAGATAGCTTGGTGAAGATAATGAACTCGGGTATGTACTATGAATAATAAGTATCATTAATAATATAATACTAGAAGTTCTTTAACCGTTGTCAATCAATTCAGCCATATTTCCGAGTAGTGCAATAGATAAACAGCTACTTCAGCCTAATAGACAGGTGAAAATGAGAAAAAAAAAACCAGAAGGGAGACATATTCTATCGTTTGAATACCGACAGTTGAATATTACGTAACAGTTATTATTTGACACTACGCCCGACAGATGGCGCATATTGATCATGTTATTAATTTATAAAACTTACATATTTACTAGTAACTATAACGCATACTGTGGCGTAGCGTACGAATCCTTTAACCCTTTGTAAAAGTCCCAATTGTCGGTTTCTTTACTATTGAATTGCGTAATGAGCGTTCGGGGAGCTCAGTTTTGCGTCACCAAACCTACTTAAAGCTGTCGGAGTGGGGCAAAGCTGATGATACAAGCCGCGATTAGCCCGGTAGCGTGAATGCCTATTAGTAAATAACGTACGATGCAGTCTTCGGGCAAGTCTTCCAAAGAGCCAACTGCCGCCGTCGAGTTTGTATAATGCTCGAAGGATTAGCTTTATAAAATCACTGTAAGCGTAATAGCAATATTTGACGAGGATGATGTATATCGACAAACAGTAGTCATAATGCTAGTACCAATATAT